ACGTCTATCTCACCACAGGCCAGTTCCATTGCCTGTAAGAGATTTTCCCTGGTATATGGGTTTCGGTCATAAACTTTCCACCACCATGCAGAGAAAAACTCTTCTGTTGGGTTGAGGACAGTGCTGTATGGTGGAAGGTCTTACTCTTCCTCATCCTTTTTGTCCAACACCTCATATTCCTCTACCTCTCATATCGTTATCCATAGCTGATGGATGTACCCGTGCCATCTGTGCACTTTGAACTGGCTTATGATTTGTACCTTCTCATCACATAATTAGAAACAAGTGTGAACAATTTTGAATCGTTGTGTGTAAACAATGACAACTGTGCTTTAGTTGTGTTTAAGTTCTGCTGTCCTCTGTTTAGTGTTTTGCAACACAGGTTCATCACAGTGCGAACACAGTGTTTTACTGAGTGAGAATGTTTAGCAAAAAGAGTGCATGAGATTTGCTAACAGAGTCTAAGTGCCTGAACTTGTATTAAGGTTTTGCAGAAAGAGTGATTTATTCAACAAATTGGTTAATGGCTATTGAGAATTTGGTTCAGAGAATGGGGTTTATTGTTTTAGCAATTGTGAAAAACTGTAAGTCTTGTAACAGGCCAAACAAAAGGAACTGACAGACCCTTTTGCTTTTCACCTATCATATACGTTTGAGATCAGTGAGCCCAAAGGCTGGAAATGATCCAGAAAACACTGAAGCATTCTCAAGACACAGTTTCTGCTTCTTTGGCACTGAGTGCCTGGAAGTGTAAGGGCAGCAGGGAAGACTAGCTGTGAGGGTGGTAAAGAGAGAGAAGAGGAAGAGAAAGAGGGAGAGGAAGAGAGGAAGGAGGGGTCGGCCCTATAGGACCATTTGTGATGAGGCTCATTTGCACAACGGCACTTAATTGGCTACAACAATTAATTAATGTGTTGGAAAGTTGGCACAAAAAGTTCATTTAAGAGGGTTTTAATAAGCAGTTAGGGAGAAGTAACCAGTGAGGTAGAAATATCCACAAAAAAAAAAAAAAAACGATGGCAGAAAACTCTGAAAGTATCTACTCCAGCTAAGACTTTTTTGGGAATAATGCGCCATATCTGAGAACCAGGATGTGGTTTGCTATTATGGGTAGTTAATGCACATCCCATTGTGAGCACTGATGACATTAAGATACATTATTTTTACCCAATACTTTTACAACCCCAACTGTTCATGGCACCCACTTTCCAAAACCAGCACTGCCTCCTCCCCCCTTCACTTTCCCTCCCACTGTCTGCCTCCCTCTCTCTTTCTCACTCTGTGTATGAAATATTGCATGACTAATGATTGGAGCAGGTTGAAATCCTGGGGAAGATGTCCTTGGAAGACGAATGCATTTTCAGCAGAATAATTAACTTAATTAACAAATTCACATGCATATTCATCAGCCTATTAATGTCTCCTCTGCGCGGCTTGATGAGCAGTGGGGTAATAACCATCTCATTTGCATAGCCTGTTCACACGACTCCCCTGTTAAAGACAAAATAAGGGAAGGAAGAGCACAGGAGGAAGAAGGAATAGAAAAATTAGAAAAGGAGACAACAAATAGAAAACAAGGGAGAGACACAGCGGGGTAACATGCAGAGGTGAGGAAGTGACGTGGGCTGGTTGGAAACAGGCAAACAGTTTATCTGACGAATGGGTGACATGAGGAGGGACGGCAAACATGAGCCCCAGCAGACTGATTCAGTTTCCCTCTCTTTCTTTCTCATCCCTCCAGTCAACCTTGTAAGACATCTTTCCCCTCCTGCTGTTCCATCATCACCATTTCCTTGCATCTATGCCATAACATTCACTTCCCTTAAAGCTGAAATAATTTGGAGTTTTTTTCTGTTTAATGGCCCTCTTAGCCATATATCCAAGTGAGAGTATAATAATATCAGCCATCAGATGTTTGTCTTGGTAAATTGTTCTTGTTGTCTTCCTGTTCAGTGTGCCCTCTTCATGTTTGTCTCCCTTTCTGTCTGTATCACTCTCTCCTTCCTACGGTCTCTCAGGGGAATCTTTTTGGCATTGCTCCACTCCTTTCTTCTCCACTGCCAGGCTGCTGCTACTGTCTCTAACTCTGTTACCGCTGTCTGCACACAACCTGGTGCTCCTAGCAACGCCACCTCTCTAACATACACTCCACATGGTGGTCCGAATGGCATGTGTGTGTACTAAACACGCACACACACACACACACACAGTTTGTGCTTACTGTAGGTTTAATTGCAACTCTTAGATTTGTGTCTGTAGTCTACACCATTTAAGCTAATTGCTTATTTTGACGCTACAAAAAAAAAAAAAAAAAAAAAAAAAAGCTGCTGATACTATTTTTGTCTATTCTAAATAGTATGGTCTCAGTATTTTACACAGAAATTCTTTTAAGCTTGTGTCAGTAAAAACCATGTTATTTATTTGTTTATACTACACATTATATGCACTCACTGGCCACTTTATTAGGTACACCTGTACAATTGTATGCAATTCAATGCAACATTACCACCTTAACATCTGTGTTTATGAAGCTTAAAATGTTTCAGTTTTTGGTGAAACTGTCATAAATATATAAAGGATGACTGCTTAATGGCCATGAAATTCAAAGGTCTTAACTTTCGTTTACTTATATTTATTCCAAATTGGGAATACTCACATATTAAGTGATTTAAAATTGGTTAAAATTTGTAGTGATAAGTGGCATAACAGGAGTTTGTTCATTATGTTCTGTACTGTTTTCATTATTAGTGTCCTCACTGTGTGTTTTTAAAACATTCTGTCTCTTACTCTTCTCATGTTAGCTAACACCAAGCTCAGGCTGATCCA